CTATAAACCTGTGAAGGATCCCTGTAGCCGTGTCATTGTTATAGTACTGCTGTTAAGAAGGCCACGGTACTGTAACACTATAGTAATAACATCATCTGCACGAACTACAACAATACCAACTACAACAGCAACAACAACAGCAGCAGCAACACCAACAGCAACACCAACAGCAATACCAATAGCACCAACAGCAACAACAACAGCAGCAACAACAATGACAGCAGCAACAACAACAAAAACTAAAACAGCAGCAACATTATCAAAAACAGAAGCAAAATCACCTTCAAAAGGTACAAAAGGCCTCCCTATTAATATTACAACAATATCTGACGAAGATATACCAAGTGAAAGTGTTGGCAGTGATGATAATGGTAAGGGAAGCGATAGTAAGAGTAAAGGTAGAGATGAGGAAGAAAGTAAGCATGCAGATAAAAAAAGCGGGCAGGGTAAAAAAAGTAAGAAGAAAAGAAGGAGTGCTTAAAGTAAAAAAAACAAGAAAAGATCGCAAAGGTGATACTGAATGTTAATTATAAATTATCATTTAATTTTTATTTTTTAAAATAGAATTTATTTGAAATAATTAAATTTAATAAATATAAAATCGGTACATATAACATAAATATCATCTAATGAAACATATCATATAAAATTTTTATATTATCAGTAAGATGATATTTGTAAATTAATTAGAAAATTAAAAATATCGGCTATATATCCTCTAAAAAAATTAACCAATTATTAAGTAATTAGTAAATAATTTAAAATCATAAAAAAATCATTCGTAATATACTTAAAGAAAAGTAAGTAATCATAAGTCTATCATCAAGGTAATCATAACTCTATTACCCTAAAAATTAAGCTGATCATCTGATTACTAATAAAACATTACAATAAATTACAATATCAGCAAAATATCATTTAAAAAATTTACAAATAGCCATTACTATATCAATTAATGATTAAAATAATCTTTAAAATATCAGCCTCAATCGCTTTTAATAATGATTAATAAATCTAAAATATCATTTAACATCTTTAATACCAATATTTTAATCAGTAGTAATTGACAATTCAAAAAAACAACTCTTTCCACTGACCTTCAATTCCAAAATCGACAAAACAAATATTCAAGGTTTACTCAAGAAACAGCCTAATTAACAACTTTTAGAAGACTAAGAGAAAAGGTTCAGCAAGTTAAAGAGCTATAATTTACTTAGAACAACATTTAGCGAAGCACTGAGCTGAGATTAAGCAAAAGATTTTTGCAAAAATTTTTTAAAATTTTTTCGAAAAATTGGGAGATTGCTCTTACTTCCAAAAATTCAAACAAGAACAATATGTGACTAAGATTCTCGGCAACAAAACAAACAAATAAACAAACACGTACTTTTTAGGAATACATAACGGTACAACAAATTAGATAAAGTAAACAAAAGGAAAATCTTGCATGTGCAAACTAAACAAAGCAAATACAAATATATAGAAATTTTTAGAAACTGATAAAATCTGATAGAAGATTATCGGAAGTAGATGGTCTCCTTGAATTGGTGTATGTGGCATCCAAAAAAGTACTTAGATATTTAAATAGTAGTGATTTAGTAGAAATTCTTCGTATATCCCACCCATACGAACCAGATGAAATAGATGCTCTTGCTAAGGATCTTATAGTACAAGACCCAAACAAAATTACAGCATATGAAATGGTTTTATACGGTCAAATCTGAGATGTACTTAGAAAAGCAGAGAATTATTTACAAGAAGGCACAATTCAGCAATGGGCAGTTGAAGCTAGAATAGCAAGAACAAACCCATTATTAATAGAATATATTACAAGCATGAGTGAAGAAGAAATTAAGAAGGAAGAAAGTAAAATGGAAGGAATAGAGAAGTTTGGTCTGATAGAGAAACCACAGTCACTTGGTCCAAAAAAAAGAAGCTCTCCTGAGGAAGAAGTCAAAGCAGATAAAGATATAAATCAGGTCGTCAAACAGATGCAAGACCTGAACATCAAAACCGAACAACAAGTGGCATCAGACTTTGATTTAGCAGGTGTAGTGCAAGCTGCATCACAGGTAGCCTCTTTACAACATCAAACAAGCAATCAAGACAAAGAACCTATAAAAGATTTAGAAGGAGAGAACAATAAAGAGAACAAAACAATAGGAGGAAAAAGAATTAAAAAAGACAAAAAAGCTCTAAGTGAAAGCATTTTAAAAGACATAATCTCACAATACAAAAAAGAAACAAAAATCATCGAAGCATAGTTGAATAATACTCAGACAGAGGAGAGTAGTCTACAAGTCTTTACAGCTACTTTAGAGCAAAGTATCTGGTCGTCAGAGAATAGATCATATAAAGATAGGCAACTATTTTTAGCAAATGTGCCAATATACAGTCTTTCAGGAAGCTTAGCAGAAGAAAGAGCTGGATATGTTAAAAGAATTCTTGGTGAAAATAAACACATCAAGAAAGTTGAAGAAAAATTCAAGACCGGAAACCCTTAGGTAGAAGTAGCCTTCGACTGCAACTTTGGAAGAAACTCAGCAATCGAAAGAATTAAGAGAAAAGAAGACGACTGGTTGATTTTAATCTCAGAGGAAAGAAAAGATCCCAAAGTGAAGCGAGGGAGTCAAAACAAGAAGCTAAAAGGAAAACAGTACCTTTGGGAAAGAAGTGAAAACTCTGGCAGAGAAACAGTGAACAAAGGAGAAAACAATCTTAACAACAGTGAAGATTCTCTAGAAAAGAAGGATCAAACAACAAAGAAAAGATATGATCATGAAAGATGTATAAATATAGACTACATCACAGTCTGGGATTTACTAGCAGACATAAAAACACAAGAAATTAAGTATATGTGTAAAAAATTAGGAGAGATAGAAGATATATATATTAAGCATAGAAACGGCAGAGCGCTTGCAGTAATAGAGTTTATTATAAAGATAGAAGATAAAGATATATCCTGGGCCCTTCCAATAGGTGATGGAAGATTAGCTAGAGTATCAAAAGGGAAAGAAGATCACAAAGAAAGAGATCAAAGATATAAATTTGTAGTAAAATTAACTAGAATTACTGAAAGACTCTCAGAAACCCTTCTTCTTAGACATCTGAAAGACAGAAAGGCTAAAGCAGTTTATATTCCTAAAAGAAGATGTGGTTTTATGAAGCAAATAGCAAAAGTAACTTTTGCTACAAAAAAAGAAATGAAAGAAGCACAGAATAAGTCAGTAAGATATAATAACTTACAACTTGTCTGGCTACAAAGTGAACAAAAAAAGAATGTGAAGGAGAAAAGTAGTTCAGAAGAGAGAAGAAGTTACAACAACAGCTCAAGAGGAAGAAAACAAGTATACGATGAAGAGGAGATCTCATCAAGAGAAAGAAGATATAATAGAAGAACATCCTCAGTAAATGGAAGAGACTGAACACCAGATAGAAAAAATGTTAGCCAAAGTGAAGGAAGTAGTTGGAGAAATAAAAGAGAAGACTCTAACAAAAGAAGAGAATCAAGAAGCTCAAGCTATAAGTATTCTGCAGAAGAAAGAAGTTTAGCAGCAAGAATTGATGAATATCATACAATGTTGCAAGAGATCATGCGACATTTAAAAAAACTTAGTAAGCAGCCTTTGGCTGCTCAATGCTTCTAAATTTAGGAGCAATAGTTGAATTAAAGAAAAATGGCAAAGGATCTAAGCCTTTTCTGCAAACAAATATGCAAAAGAACATTAATCAGGAGAATTTTATCCTTCGCCTACTGAACAATACAGATAGCAGAAAAGAAAAGGAAGTTATGAATAGAGGAGAATTAGAACTAGAGGAAAATAGAAATATTAGGTATATAGCAAGCGGAGACTATAGTAACCAAACAAAGGAACTTAATATCGCAACACATAATGTTAATGGCATTAAAAGCAATGCCCACAAATTAGAATTTGCTCTTGAGTGGGCATCAGATAACAAAATAGATATTCTGGGTATTGCAGAAACAAACATTT